CATATGACCTATGTAGCCACATAACCTTAGTCAAGCAATAATACTCTTTAAATTGAATAATAAGAGTATTATTGTGCAGTACAATAATGCTTAAAGAACCAGAAACCAAATCTTACCAGTAAATATAACCTCACTGCCAAGAGATTTTTATAGTCTGCAGAAAACATGAAGGGTAGGATTGCGCAAGACAAACAAAGCAAGATTTCACACAAGGCGTAGTCATTTGGTACATTTTCTTTATGGTGTATTTCTTAAATCAAGACATTTTGCCAGTATGTTTTTATAACATGGTCCCACAGACAGCTAAGACTGATTGGAAGGTGAAGGGGAAGAAACAAGAGGCCAGAGATAAGAAATCCTTAAAGCAATTTCGCAGCCACAGAAAAGCTACATGTGTCTACGTGCCCAATGGTTCAAGCCTCCCTTTGCCTAACTCTTGAGTTTTGAGCACTGAGTCTGATCAAAGAATATTCTAGATGCTGATGAGCAGTCTTATTAATTTTAGTGGAGAATCAGACAAACAAGAAAAGTGAGGTTTACATTGTATCCTCTTTATCTGGTTCACAGCCCAGCAGCTGTGACTGTCACTGCTGTAATGGTCAATGGATCGAACAACTGTTTCCCCATAACAGAAGAAAACCCTGGGACACAGCGTCCCTGGCATGGAAAGATTAACAGGGATTACAGTACAAGGGAAATGGGCCATGGAAGAATGCAGACAGAGCCCCCGACACGTGGCAGAGAAAGGGGAAGGACAGAGTGACGAACAGAGCTTCTCCCATCAGCCAAGGAAGGGACTGGGGCACACCAGTGTCCCAGCAAGAGGAGGGGTTGGATTCAGGAGCGCTGGAAATAGAAGAGGATAAAAGAGTGGTATGCATGCAGTGGGAAAGGCATGCAGAGCAGGAGACAGAAAACCCACAATGCATGCAATGCACTTTACCAACAGATGCAATGAGAAGCATGACCTTCTTCTGTACATACATAAACTTTTAAGCAAATAAAATAATGGACAATTCAATTTAACTTTCTCTGGTTGATTTCATATAACACTGGATGTAAGCATTAAAGAATCTGAAAGAGAACTCAATGAACACACACACAAGAAAGCTGTCCTTGAACTGATCCGCAAATTCACTGCTGACACTTCATCAAGTCAAATGCCTAGAGTCAGCCATCATATTCCCTACAAGCAAATGGGTAGTTATAAAAATCTAGTGCTGCAAGGAAAGTTCAAAATGCTATCTATAACAAAAAAACCACTTCCAGACAGGTAAAGGCCATATCCAGAATTTGCTCTTCTGTCTGGCACTAAACGAAAACATTCTCATGAACTGGGCAAGTATCAGCTTCAAGTCCAGCCAGCAACTGACATTTTCCCACACAGAACTCCAGAAAATTATTTAGCAAAATAATCAACATGGGAGAGACAGCTTCATTATTAATGTAAATAGCTCACTTTCTCAAATTACCAGTTTTGCAAAAGGCATTAATTTGTGGGCTTTGACCCAAGAATGCAAAATGCATATTCGTTCAGAACAGATACAAGATGGTATTGAGAGCTGGTTTACACCATTTGTGTGTAAAGCAAATGGACAGATCGTGTACAGTCAGGGGTTAGCATTGTTAAGACACAGCAAAATACCAAGTGAACCTGGACTCAATACTATCTTTAGGGACTGATTTAATTCCACTGAAATAATCGACCTTAACAGACAGGGACAGGCTAATCTAGCTCTTAGCATGGTGACTGAGGGAATACCACGAAAGAATTTGCTTATTCATTAATTCTGTAGTTTAAGCTCGTAGAGGAGAATTTTAATTTTCAGGTAGGGTACAAAAAGCCCACAGTATGAGAGGGTTCAAGAAAAGCTGTGACAGAGGCACAGTATTTCCTACGAACATTGCATCTGTATCTTACCTGTGAAGCAATCTGTTGCGCGAGCTCCAATTATTCAATGCTGAAGAGAATGGTATTCCATTTTACATTTGCAGCTACTGTAAATCTCAGTGCATCCCATTCAGCCTGCCCATTCTATACTACAAAGTTATATGAAAGATGAAACTTGTGATTTCATTTCTTCAAGAGCAGTAGCGCACCCGATTTTAAATCATGCATCATGATAAAAAGGTTTTCTGTAATTACAGTTCTACCATATGCATATGTATAAGCATTTACGCACATTCACATATTTACATGTCTGAATGAGTCTCTGGGTTTTAGGCATAAGCTTCTCCTAGTCCAGCACCTCCCCAAAGCTATTAACATTGATTGGACACAGGTGTTAAGAATAATTAAAGATATAAGGAATATTATTATTTAGCCATCCATCAGTGGAAATCACATTAAAGCAGAGTCATCTTCCATTAGGCTTATTACATTATTCCTAGTAAGGCCACTGGTACATTCAATTTTCTACCATTATTGGACCAGCTTTTTCCTGGGTCACTCCCAATTTACCAATATTTGTAACTATTTCCAAGCACTATCTCCATTTCACATGTTTAGAGCTGTATTGTCTAGTCTTGCAGAGCATAATGTCTTCAAAATGGCATACGTACTACTTCATCAGTCCCTAGGATTACTGAAGTAGTCCTGACCCTATAAGCCACTTGTTCATTTTCTCTGACAGATAAACCAACATACGGTCAACAGCTACTGATGGAGCCTTCTGCTACTAGATTGTAGCACAGGGCTCAGTAAGAGCTAGAAGCTCTGGCCTCTCACACATCTAGCAGACAGACTTGTTTGTGTACTTTCCACAGTTTGAGCAGATGGAGAGCCGGTGAAACACTGAACAAAACTGATTTCCTTAAGAACAACAAAAAAAGTTTTCTACCGAATCTATCTGACATTGGTGCATTTTTCTTTTCCTAAAATTCTGTTGTCAAAAATATTATTGAAATTTTGTTCAAATGTAATTTATTAACAGGAGCTAGATAAGTGGTCCCAACCACGTTTTACCTTTAAAGATTACCAAAAAAGTTAAAGTATTTCACCCCACAGAATTTTATTTTGTGCATGAAATCTGTTTTGTAAACCTACTTTCCTGATTACGGCAACATTATGAATATTCTGATTAGCTCCAGTAAAGAGAAGAATCTTTGTCAATGCTACTGAGAGACAGGAAGATGAAGTTGTAGTTAAGGTAATGCAGAAGAGCTTGGGGTTCTGGATTTAATTTCTGGCTTTGTTGTAGCCTTCCTGCATGACCTTGGCTAGATCGATGGGAACCATATTAGGGCAGCCTAATTTCTACTGACATGCTTGTCCCTAGCCAGCAGACCCTTTGATAATTGATTCAGAAGCCCTAAATAAGGCACTGAACTGGAAGCCACATAGGATCAGCTGACAAAACAAGTTCCAAGGGTCTCAGTAGTCTTCAGGCTACCTAAAGGTAGAACTTGCAGACATTATTATTATCTAGAGCCTATTCCCATGACAAAGGCATCAGATTTCTCAAGACCTAAGTATTCTCTTTCCTGGCAAGTAAAATACTATGGCACCTATTTTGATCCCAAGGCTATTCCCCCAGCTCCTTCACACAACACCGTACCTTCAGTTTTGGTGCCCCAGTTCTCGATCTTCCTTTTCCTTCTTCCACAGTGACTGTTAGTAAATCCTCTTGTAGTAAGCACTGCCACTACCTTTGTAAGTGGACAGTTCCCTGTCACTAGCCTCAGCTGGGACCCCAAGAGACCTAATATGATGTTGCTATATTCACAAAACAATAGCAAATTAAATATGATTACGCAAGCTGGCTTTCCACGGCCAACTGTATAGCCATCAAAACTAGGCTGCTGCCAGCTAATATATTAGCTATATTGTACCCGGCTGCTGGAAACCGAGGTTAGCTGAGGATATTTAACGATCCACCAATATGAAGGGGGGGTGCAATATCAACACAGGAACATTGTAAACACAGATTTGCAAAACTGAAATCTTATAACTGAAAGAATTAAACAGTGTTCTTGCTGTATGCTATAAATCTTTAGAAGAACAATAAAGATGTGGCTGTCTACTCCTAATCCTAGAATTTGGGGGGCCATCCTTCTACATACTATCCCTTATCTAATGCATGCTTCTATCAAGCTCTACCCAGTCTTTAACAGCATCACTAGTAATGAAATATCAAAAAAATGTGAAGACAAATATTTGAAACTGCTTAAGAAATGATAACATAATAGATGCTGCATTGTAGAAAACGTGTATATGTTTGAAGCAGCACACCAAGAAATTGAAAAGCATCATCCATTCATGCCACAAACAAATAAGTCAGAAACCTATGATACTGAAACGTCATTTTACAAGGGTATTTACAGAGCTAGCATCCGTCATCTCTAGTGGACTTTGTCTTTTCTAGAAAGAGATCTTATTGTCAAGAAAAAAAGTCACTCAAGAATGCACTTGAGGGAGAGTCTATCTGGTTCTATCAGGTGGGTTACAAAGCTACCATGTTGTCTGCCTCTTTGCAGGCACTACATCGGCGTTAGTTTTGTTTAAACACTTTTGCTTAGAAACGCAGAGACTGAGAAATCAAGCAATACGATACTAAAAGCAGACGCCCAAACGGCCTAAAACAGCCGAAGGATGCGTTCACCGGGGGCACGCACACTTTCACTGCTAGCAGGAGATATTTCTGGCGATTCAGGCAGCGCAGCGAGAACGCACCTTGCGCTCATGTTCTCCCCGAGCGACCGGCGCGGCCGCCTCGGGAGCGCAGTCGGGAAGGCGGTAGAGGAGGCAGCAAACCTGTACGCCGCATCAGGCATCTGTCCGCACGCCGTAACACGTTCCTGCTTTTCCACACCTACGCCGGGAGAGACTTCCCTTGCCGGGAGCGGCATCTTTGTCCCCGAGCGGTTCGGCTGGCGGGCACCGGCGCCGCCGAGGCCGGGGCCGCCGAGGCCGGGACCGCCG